ATATCCTACTTTATATAATTCGCTAAGTGTGTCTGTTGGTGTGTCGGTGTGTGTGTATGTATGTGTGTCGGTGTGTGTGTTTGACAGGAAATTCATAACTCCTGTTCCAGTGGACCCAAAGCGTTCAAATTCGGCAGGATTACAGAGGGCAGCATGGGAACACTTATGATGGGTGGCAGGACCGAACTCCACCTACAGGGTGCGGGGCGTGCGCGATAGAAAATTTAGGTCGCAAATTCATAACTCCTGTCCCCGTGGACCTAGAGAGTTCAAATTTGGCAGGAGTACAGGGAGCAGCATGGGAACACTTATGGCAGGTAATAGGACCGGACTCCGCCTACAGGGGGCGAGGCGTGCGCGATGGGTATTTTAGGTCGCAGATACGTAACTCCTGTTTACGTGGTTCTAGAGAGTTTAAATTCGGTAGGAATACGGGGACAAGTATGGGAACACTCGTGGCAGGTGGCAGGACCAGACTAACCTACAGGAGACGGGTTTGTTCAAACTAAACATTTGAGCGAAAATTCGTAACTTCTGTTTCTGTGGACCTAGAGAGTTCAAATATGGTAGGATTACAGCTTTTCGTGTTAACAGTGGAACCTCGGCCTTCTAATAAGTGGTATAGGATCTGACGGGATCCTGGGTACTCGGGCAAGAACCGGTAATAACTGATAAAAGAAGATATGGGGCCTAAGAGAGCAAGTGCCACCTGCCGATCGAAATCCTAACGCCTTCGGTATCTACGATGTAGCTTTGGCTGTTCAGTATGCTTCATTCGATAAGATGAGATGCTTTGAGTAGGATGACAAAAGGAGTGGTAAGTGCAGTTATAGGGATCCATTAGCGACTTTGCGATAAGCAGATTAGAATTTGGTTCATCTCTTGCTAATAGGTTACGACCGCTACACAGCAAAGTTTGTGAGTTGATGAAGGATCCCCATTGTTCGATATCATTTGAGACAAGATTAACCGACCGCCAGTTATTTGGAACTCTTAACTAATGCTATCTTTGTGAAGTAAAAGGTTCAATGATAACATCTGATAATGGTGTAATCTTCATACGAAATATTTGTAAGTACCGCTTTGGTAGTAGGGCTTTGGTTACCTAATAGTTCAATCTTTATTGGGTATCCATCTTCAAGATCGTGACTCCCAATTAAAGAAATAAGTACCGAATTTCACTGAATACCGATACCCTGTTAGTCCTGTGTCCTACTTCGTGTACAAGAAAATATTATTTGCTTCGAAGAAGGGGTGGAGAGTTAGCCGATTACTGCAACTTTGCAAAGAAGGAGGGAAGCCCGGCGTTAGCCGGGCGGCCCGACTGGTATAGTAATAAAGCATTAGCCGTATTCGCCTTTAGTTGCACAGTCGTAGGGGCCATGGCAGCTTGCCGTAACTTCCAGCTATAACTATACTGATTCTAAGCCTATCTTGCATTGTTATTCCAATAGTTTGTATGTATTTCACTAACCTGACAACATAATAAACGAAGAAATTGATGGAGATCGTAAAATTAGCAAAGGATCCTGCCAGCAAATGTAAATGGTATAATTCAACATTCAGTTGGAATGCAGAGCTCAGATTTACAATGATGGAAGTGCTGAACCAACCAAATACGACCGTCAAGCTTATGATAATCAGCGACCGATACATGCTCTTCGCTTTTGCACTGCCTGGAATATAAAACGGTTTCAAATATTTAACAAAGTCGTACTGGGAGTAATTCACGGGCCTGCTGTAGGATGGTGCTAGTCACTCAGCACTTTGACTTCCAGAAGTGCCACCATTCAGATATTTCAAAGTTAGTGAGATAAATCTCATGAAAATGATAATAAATTTAGTCCAAATGCAAAGGAAATTCTGTAGTATAGGCAGATCGTGTTTGAAAAACTCTGCGATTTTCTTGGAGCGGTACCACCAAGAGCATCGTGTTTCTGGGGTTGCTGCAAAAAAGCCCGAAAATGATTCTGGATAACGTGTTGTTAGGCATGTACGAACTGTGATAGCTACGAGTTCGAGCATGATGTCATCTATTAGCGCAACCATTCGAACCCCGCGAGGTGAGGGAAACGGGGGCGGAGCGAAGATGAGGATAAGCTGTTCTGGGTTAACCACTACATCACTAGAGGAAGAGAAGGGAGAGGGAGGGGCAGGAAAAAGTTGTATTCTAATATATCAGAAGTCAGCAGTGAACGAAACGATGTCATCCTACTCATGAGTTAGCCGTAACTCATTCAAAAGCTCAACTACTCAGCCGACATTCCTCACAGTCATACTTCAGGACCCAAGCATTATGCTTCAATGCGTTTTAGCGCTCTTTTTATCGGAAGATAGAAGGAAGACACTATGTCAGCACCGACGTAGTGTCTTCCTTCTATTTTTCGGTAGAAACAGCGCTGAAACGCATTGGCACCTTTCATAGTCCACGATTTTGCGAGCGACCAGTCGCGCGACCGGTCGCCCGATTTGCTCGGGACCATCCTCGGCGGCACCCATAACTAGCGCGGCCTCCTCGACCGATCGAGCGGTGGCGCGATCAGTCGGGTGACCAGTCGCTGCGAGATGGGCCCGCGACTAGTCGCGCCGACTGGTCGTGGACTATGAAAGCAGCCATTGGAGCAATTAAGAGCTCATTTGGAGACGTTTCTAACTGCGAGTAGATGGGTAGATTTTTTTTATTCGTTGACATATTGATACATTTTTCCTGGTACCCGTGCTGTTCCAAAATGATTTGAGAGGCTCTACACTTCGTCACTGCCGTTTCGACGCATGCCTAATGTTTCGCACCCATACATTGAGCTTTGCTTGGCTTGTGTGCTTTATTCAGTTCAAGATATGCCTTATACTTCCCAAATTTGGACCTGTTTTTCTACATGCTCAATAATCTAGTCGTGATACCAAAGCGTCGAAGCGAAAATTATAAAATGCCTGAGGTGCCACTGAACAAAAAAGCTCGTAGACTAGAAAAGCTGTGAAGAGGGTCCATTGGTTTGTTAACCTTGCCTGAATTAGCGAAATGCTCTATTGTATACTGCAAAATCCTTTAGTTATTCGGAAACGCGCAAGCTCTTTTTTGAAGAAAATGAACGGCAAAGGAGATAAAAAGCGTTCAGTCAAGTAGGCTTCACTGTTCTCAGTGAGCCATTTCCAATTAGCATCTAAGCACCGAGCTCTTTCTCTTCAACAAAGGCAGGTAAGATGAAGCGATTACCGCCTAGTTGACTTTATTTGTCTAAAACATCTGGGATCCCACGGTTGCAGTCCGGACAAATAAGGCTGCTGTATTGAGCTTCCGATATCTTCCCTTCACAAAATTGTAGCTCAATTCGAGCTGCGGAGCTTGACATGGTCATAAGCGACAATGGCTCACTAGCGATTGGGTGCAGCTATCCACTTGTCGATAAAATCGTCAAGAAACTGTTGTCACTTCAGCAAAAAAAGGTTTTCAAATAGAGTTGCTAAAACATCTCACACTGAGATACTGCAGCCATATTACGGGTTTCTTTTTAGCCGCATTTGGGTTCAGGGTGCAAACCACTCATGACTCGCCTAAAGTCCGTATCTGTTCTAGAACCCGATGGTGGAGAAGATCGTCACTCTGAGTATCGTTCTTGTTCAAAACTCCGAGGCAAGGAACGGAGATTTCTGTAACGACTTTCAGACTGAAGTTCCTCTCCTTCTCTGACCATCTTCAATTAGTTTGACTTAATTCGATCCGATGTCTCAGCGAAAATGCCGTGACAGAGTGACGATGACAGGCAGGTCCAGATTATACAGGAAACGATACCAACATTGGAAGGACCAACAAATGTCGTCATAAATGCTTGGATTCGGAACTATTACGTGTTTTGAAAGAATGCCTCCGAACAACTGTGCCTCTCACTAAATCCGCTATATTGCACTGAAATGAATTTGGAGAACGCTCTTCTCCCTCTCATAACACCATAGGAGAAAAACAGCAGCTGTGGGACCGTATTCCTATTTAAATCATGCTAGCAGGGATGCGACCTCAAGATTCGAGGATGCTGCACGACAAGCGGTAAACTTAACGAGGTGTCCGCAATACATGTGCGGACACCGGAAACGTAACCTCCCGCGAAAACAGTGGGAGGCTACTATATCATCCATTCGGAAGGCACTTCCTCCGTCCGCTAGCATCATTTTAACCACAATTTTTCAATATTTTCTCTGCTGTTTCATTTGCACACTTTCAACACTGAGATCTTGTAGGTACCCTTTCCAACGAAGTTGAAGTTTAGCAAGAAGAAATAATTTATTATCTCCCTGCGTAACAAACACTTCTCTAGCCCCACCAGAAATCCCGATCCGTTCCCAGAGAAGACTCCAATTGCGTCGGCTTGACGATAGAAGCCTTGCTGGGCACTGTGTGACCCAGATCTCTAAACTACAATTGGCATTGCCGAAGTAGTTTATTACTATTATTTTGGACTTCTTAAGAACCAATCCGTACACCGATAATGACCCCAGAGGGACCGCTCACTACACTCTAAGGATGAAAGCTTTGGTTCTTGCCAAAACGCAAAACTACCTATCATCGTCTCGTTCGATACGGATGATTCATCTCAGGCTGCGCGATCAAGAATTTTGAGGTTATTAAATGCTAGGCACTGAAATAGCCGTAGCTTGACGTTAGAGAGATACAACACCTGGCGTCACCTGGGATCCACAAAAAACCCTTCCAGAAACTTTTTGAATTTGTCTATTTCAGTCAACAAGACATCAAATGCATTCCAAACATCCTTATTAAAAACAAAAATAAGAGAGAGCGGGTATGGGTAGAAGTGACTGCCGCCCAAGCGATAAAGACATCGCCCTATAAAAGCAAGGCTCCTAAGGGGACCGTGGAGTCCAGCTATTGCGAGGGCACTCAGGAAAAGGGAAAGAGGTAAGCTTTTAAGTGTGATTTCCGCATTGACTTATCCCTTTTCCAGATCGACTTCAGATTCAACGCACAACAGAGGCAAGAGAATTCGTGGTTATGCACCGAAAGCAAAAGCGTCTCTGTAGGAGTGGTACTGCCCTTTGTCTTGCTCGTCAACAGTTCCACTTTGCTCTTCCTTCTTCAGCGTTAAGGGTGTGAAACTTGGCGCAAAGACACTGAACTTTTATATGAAGTCAGGAAGTTTAGTCATTCCTCTCAACGATTTTTGAAACCAGTGTGGCCATCAAGTCCTTGTCATTGTAAACTGCTGAAAGGCTCATGACGTACCTGGAGGGATGGCTCTGACCAACGATGCTCTTATTAAATCCTACATACTGATCTGAAATTGAATCAGAAAAGTTCTTTCCCCTTTCGAAAACATAAGGCAGCTTTAAAGAGGTGTAGTACTCCTCTTCTGTTCACCCCATTTTAACACCACTTCCACACCAGTGCAAGATACGGCACGATGAGATGGCCGTGTATAGAAAGGCTTCTGGATGGCCTTGAGTTGTGGTCTGGAGCCGGTGGGAGGGAACGCACGTAACCATCTGCGTAGACGATCGAAAGACAAACTGTGCAGTTACCCGCCATCGTAGGCGATGCATACGGCGGAAACTGCCGAAGCAACCGCAGCTTCCTCGGGACTCCCTCAACGCTGGCGACAACTTCACCACAATTTTTCCAATTTCCTCTGCTGTATCGTTTACTTCCTTTCAACGCCATAACCCGATGGGCATTACCAAAGAAGTATTACTTGTTCCCTGCAACAAACTTCATGAGAGCAACTCTTTATACCTGCAATGAATAATTCCATTTGCATTTGGGTAGCGATTAACACAAGTGGTCCAGCTGCACGCTGTACGGCCCAGAATCTCTGAAACTTCTGAAGCGTCGTAGTTTGGGAATACCAATAGCTGTCAACCATTGAGAGTTTTCTCCCACCAAAACACTCCGAGCAACTCCTCATTGTCCTATTCAACAAGACATTAGATGTATTACTAATATTGTATTTTCAACGAAGCAGAAGCATGCGAACGCTGGGTATAGGTAAAAGTAATCGTAGAGAAGACGATCAGAGTTCGTGTGAGGACTGTGCTAAGTCTACCCGGAATGGCCAAGCTCGAGATGACCTAGAGTTGGCCCGGAATTAACCTAGTCAGTGCGAAAGCATTCTATGGCTAGGAAAGAGGAGGAGTTATGGTCAAAAGATAAACTCTTTGGCACTGACTATTCCCCTACTGAGACCCACAGCAAGATCGGCTTTGTATGTAAGCAGGACCAAAGAAGCTCGCCCTTCTTAACGGGAAGCGAAGATGTTTTTGTAGTGGTGTTTATGTCGCCACTCTTCGCGGTTCACATTGAACAAACCGGAAGGGACAATTGACCAAGGCTCCTATTCTCCCTCTCTGTGTACTTGAAAAATCATTTAACGAAGCCTTCCCACTCTTCATATTTTCAATTTTCCCACAATCTCCCACAACTCAAAACTAATCAACACTCACCCTCTTTCAACGAGTCAATAGATTTGAAAAACTATGCTCTTCTCCTTTTTCTAAATTTTTCTTATTTGCCCCTTCTTCGTTTCCTTCTTACACACGTAGTTACCCTTCGTGTTGAAGTCGATTCGAATTTCCTCTGCACTCCACCATTCAACGCTCAATTTAACCTTTCCATTCATCTTGGCAGAGTGAACTTTGTGAGCACCACCTCGACCTTTTCTTGAATCCCCTCATACTTCATTGTACGATAACCAATTCCTCGACTTACGGTCAGAGGACATGGTGCTTTGCAGATGTTGATCCAGCTTGCAGTGCTTTTTGATCTCCTTTCACGATAAGTCAGTTGAAAATTTCGCGTTGACTCCTATCCCTTCCTTATTCCTTTCAGTAGAATAGCGACGTAACTAATTGTACTAGCGGACAGGGCAATATAGATCGATCCAGCAACTTTCGCTCTCCTACCATCCCTTTAAATGTTTGTGCACTGTTAAATGAGATGACTTAGAGAGTTTCCATTTGATGGCGTTTAGGGTAAAATTGGATAGAGATCTTCAAGGAGTTGAGGTCAAATGTTGGTGGTAGAAGGAGTGCGTGTCTGGGTGGTAGACAGTATCAAGTCTTCGCAAATGTATTGGAATGCGTCATAGATCTTGAATAAGAATTGAGATAGGCAGAGAGAGAGGGAGGTAGGTTGATCATTCTAAGTGGGGAGTGTCTTTGAAAAGGCTGGATTTAAATCGGAAATTCACGATACTGTTTAAAACAGCATTGATTCCCGGAAATTAAGTGCATAAATGACCGGAAGTGGATCACCTCTATCACCTGTCGTTGTGATGACCATCGACTTCTCAAGCGGGAGCTAGTAACGACTACGTTCATCCCAGTTGTCTAGTGAACGCCCCTGCTCGAAGATTACGAGCCTGGCATTCCCTTTCTCACAACTTCTGTTAAGAAGTCTGATCATCGTTTTAAATAGCACCCTGATGTCCGCTTGACATCTGATCAATTGGGACCTTATCTTCGTGGAATCGAACGAGGTGTCTAGTGCTATTCCCCTACCCTATTCTCGTTCTTTGGTGGAACAGGGACTTCCGATTTTTCCTTTGCAATAGCGTATGAGAAATTTCAAGCATTGTTTTTCACTTGGCGTGTTGAATGACGCCTAATCACATCGTATAAGCCTAGTCCCAGTTTTTCAAATTTTAAGAATCACAGTGTAGAAAAGTTGATCGCGAAGCCAAACTTTCTTTGTTCTCTTCACCAATTCCTCCTTGTTTCCAAACGCCCATGTTTCTTCTGCGCAGCTCTGGAGCTAAGTCTTTCATTACATTGACTTCTCGACGTAGATACACTTAACGACACAGCACCTACTGATCAGTACCATCGAACACACAAGAAGATTCACGAAGAAGACATTCTCATTAAGCTTCCGCTAAATTCAGTCGTAGCCCTCCCATTCCACTGGCTTTGCGATTCAGCTATTCCTTAGCATTCGTTCCGTCTGCTCAATATTCCAAGTCACCCGCGATATTCTATCAACACTAAAAAGGTTGTGCCACTTGTTATCGCCAGAGAAACCCCTCTCTCCACCGTGAAAGCAAATTCTTTGAAGAATCCTGGAGAATGAAAACTTCCTTATGAGGTTGATGTAGGGCTTACGAAACACATTTATAAACTGACGGTGTGAATATTGTAGACGCTCGTGTATTGTACTGAAGTGCTGCAAAACCCTGCTTGTCCGCAAGTTGCCCTTTACTCAGAGGATCTAGAAATGTGACGGAACTAGTGGAACTCTAATAATTTTTTTGTTTTTATTTTATAAGGACTAGGGGCGCAGAAACTCCTTTCGACGAGATGGCATACAGAATTCTGGAAGGAGGAACTGAAGGAAAGGGCGACTCTAGCGGGCATTGTGAATGCTCTCCCAAGTCTCGGTTGCTTTCGCCAGAGTTGCTGCTCATCTCTTTTACCCCGTTTCGCAATCCGCATAGCTTCACAAGTTTAGGTTTTTTTTTCTCTTCCAATCCCTTGAATTTCTCTGTGAATTGCTCTGGGCAACTACCTTTATTATTCGCCAAGTACTGGCTACCCTAAAATGATCGTGAAGTGTGTCATGAATTATTCTAACCCTATTGAGCCATGGAAGGTGCGATAGACCGTAATCTCGTCCTTCTGTCGCATCACTGATTTGAAGAAATTCGAGAAACTCACGCATACGGATCCTCTTTAAAAGGAATATGAAGCAAGTGTAGCACAAAATAATTGAAACACTTGTCGCCATAAGCAGTTTGAAATATAGCTGGTAGCTTTCACCTTTCATAGGAGTTGCCAGGGTGCATATTCCTTGTCTGCAATATAGAGTCAAATTCGATGGGATACTCATACTTACTCTCTATTCTATTCCAAGAAACCTACTCGTCTGATACCCTGTACAGGAATGCCCACACGTCCATGACTGCTCCAAATGAGCATCCGGGTAAGAGCTGCGCCACCATGTAGAGTTTTGGATAGGAGTTTACCACAGGTCTGCTTAACGATAGATAACTCTGCGAGACAGTCACTTAAACTACCATCGAAAGTGCACCGGTGACACACACTGGCGATCTTCCAAACACGAACAGTGACAAAATATTCATATGACAAATGGGTCGGAACGATGCAGGACAATGAGCATTTTTTAAACCTTCTCTCGGTGGTTTTGTCCAGGGATTTTGCCAATGGACGTTTCTGTTACTAGTGAGAAACTTCACCGAATGCAATTTTATGTACGGGCAGAGTAATTGGTAGCACAATAAGCGCGTCAGCTTTTTTATTCCTGGTAGAGGCAGATTACTGTGTTATTCTTCATTTCTCGTTCATGCGAAAATTTTCAAGTGTATAGCCATAAGGTATGATTTGGAACTTACTAGGAATTCATCAGGGAAAATAATCTGTCTGTTGCTACACTAAGGAGGAGTAGTGGCGAAAGGCATGCAGCGAAAATTGAGGGCAGTTGTAGGTAGACGCAGGCCGTGTGCGAGATGGAGTCGCTGCGTAGACTGAAAGAAATTTACAAACAATGATAGTGAGGTTCTCATAAGCTGAAAACGGAACCCATGTTCGGTCCTCAGTGAATCATGGTACGATAAGTCGATGTAGTGGGTACTCTAGTTGAGCTAAGCCATGATGTTAGAACTTCTACCGTCCAACCCCCAGCCTGCCATTCCTCTATGTCTTTATCAAAACACATAAACTCTTACCGAACATCCTTTCCTCCCTCAATCACTGAATTTCTCAGGATGGCCCATATTAGTAGCGTAGGTGATCCTACTGAAAGAATTTCATGGCTGCTAAACGTCGTGGGCGCGATCCACTCATCCACGCATCTTCCACTGTCGTAACCCCTTGAAAATCCCTGACCAACTACAAAAGTCCGATTGAGAAGGTATCACATCATAGAACCAACCTTGCTCAGCTTCCTACAACACCAATATGTATAATTGAGAAGCCATGCAGGACACCCACATCTTCTATATGGACACGTAAGGTCAATGAATATGTGTGAACCTCCAGTTTCTCAAATGAAGACTTTGGCCAAAGAATGTCTTATTTTTTTTCTTTTTCGGTAGTCTGAACAAAAACGAATCATTAATCGTGTTTTTGGCAGGCTCTTCACATTGGAATGGCGTCACGCATAGGATTAGCGCGTACCATCTCGGAATAACCAGTCGGAGTTCGACTAAATTCGGTGATTGTGATGAAATAATATCACTTTCCAATCGTAACGCATCAGATTAACAGTATTTCCAGTCCAGTAGATCTGGGCCATCCTACAGATGTCACTGTTAGACTACCCCAGAGATCAGCTCTGAGCCCGTGCCTCTTTGTGCTTACAATGGACGTCATCACAAAAGAACTCATGGATGGTCCACTGAGGACGATCCTCTACATATTTATTCCTTTAGGAAGAGTTAGTCCAGAATCGCTTTCGTAGCGGAGAGCAAAGACGAACTCCAGGACAAGCTGCAGAAATGGCAGAGAGTACTGGCGGAGAACGGGCTCCGGCTGAAAGTGAAGAAGACCAGGTTTCATAGCTCCGGAGTGCACGGTGTCAATCGTAGACGGTCTCGAGGGAGCCATCGTAAACGTTCAGGATTTCTGATACCTGGAGAGTGATCTAGCCGCTGATGTCAAAGTGGACCAGCTCGTAAGCTAACGAATAAACTCGGCATGGATGAAGTGTTGGGAATCCACTGGTATCCTCAGTGCTTCAGAACTCTCAACGAAAGATGTATCGCACAATGGTAAGGCCCAGGATGCTCTGCAGTAGCGAATGTTATTGAGTAAGCAAAGGTCATGAAAGACAGCTCCATCACGCTGACATGAGAATGTTCAGATGGGTCTGCGGTTGGACCGTATCAGAAATGAGGGCACAAGGGCGGCTTTACAAGCAACCTTGTCCAGCTAAAGATGAGAGAGCACCGTCTGCGATAGTTCGGGCATTACTGAGAAGACCACCGAATAACGGAGGCAATATAGTTCGAGGCTCAAGGTTAGCGACCACGAGGATCTCAAAGAAGGGATGGTGAGACTCGATAAAGAAGGACTCCACCATAGCTAAGGTAATGAGTGAAGATGCCATATAGAAAGAAGTGGAGAAAGCTGACGAGAACAGCGCATCCTGCCACGGCTTAGTGCTAGGGAGAAGAAGAAGAAGCTGCCCTGAGTCCTCCCTATCTGTTCAGCCCGCGACATCATTTTAGATATATCTGGCTCGCATCCAACGGTCTTCAAGGGTGTTTCAAAGGTTGACCTTCTTATTCGGTCCTGAGTTTTGAGCAGATTGTTGAGCGGTTCTTCTCAATCAACAGTCTCGCACTGTATCATCTATCACAACCTATCACAATCGAGGGATCGAGACACAATCATTCCATTGCCTAAGTGATCGGGAAACTACGTGGTTGGCGTCTGAGCGTGACATTTAGAGAGCCAAGTCAGAAATTTTTCCATCTGACACTGCTATTCCGGTGCGTGCCCAACCACTGGGGCGCCCCATTCTTTTCAAGCTCGATTAAGCCTCTCCAGGTGAATGTTCTGCTGGTAGCCATCTACGTGACTAACAGGCAGATAGAGACACATACTAAGCTGAACTGATGCTCTTTGATATTTGTTACCTTGAACGTTGAGAAATCAAACTTTCTTGTAAAACTTACACGTTGTAGGCAATGGTAGAAATGATATTGGAGGACACTAGCACAATGTCGGCAAGCGATAATAGTGCGATGAGTATGCTGCAATGGCTTCGAAGGTTCCTGAATGAATCAGAGGTAGCAGTAACCGTTTCTAGTTTGAGTACAGTATCTTATGGAAACTTACTTGCTAAGGATTGTCACATAAACGACGAATGCGTTACCAACAATACTTATGGTCGGTACCACAATGTAGAACACCTTGTATGGAGTCGGTGTTGCACTAGGATACATGAAGAACTGAAAGTTTCGGGATTACTGGGTTTTCTGAATTTACTTTGTTTTTTGCTTCTAGTTAAGCTAGCAGAAAAAACTATGAAATAATGCAAGATGAACGATGCGCGATCGAGTGAGAGGTGATCTTCTCAAGGATGAATCAACATTGTTTTTCTTCACTTCACTGCTCAATGTACACACATGTACATTTAGCCTCCCTTCCTTATATGGATGGGCCTTCAAGTTCCACGGTTCCGGTTAAGATGACCTGAAAAGGTCGATGGCCACTGTATATCATGCATACTATTCATTCTCCTCAGGCTGAGACAGAGAGGTTGAGGATGTTTGAAGATCAAATCCAGTTGTGGCCTTACCACTTTCTAACTATTTTCTGCTCGGAATTACCTATATGTTTCCCACTATGGTGCAACTTTTTTGCAAGCCTTTGATCATAAGAGTACTTAACCAACGGATTACCGACAGTTTTTGAAAATTGGCACAAATTAAACTTGATTTCGATCTGTTATAGAGCAACACCGCACGTATGATCGAGGGTCTAAGGTAAGGCGCCTAACTCGATTGATTTGGACAATTTTAGAATGAATTCAAAATGGCTTCCATTTTGTCGCGAGAGCTTTTTGCCAACCTAATATAAAGAAAACTAAAATGGAATTCGGGAACGAATCAGCATGTTGATAGAAAACAGAAGGACACGCTTATACTGCTGCAAGGAATCTAGAAAGATTTTTTTGGTTCAAGAAGTCAGAAGTCGGTGGATGCACTCAGATTGTTTTCGGGATAGTATGAAGATAATTACTGCCTATCAGGCATCATGCGTCGCGACCAATAATTGCGGAAAAGTTGAGTGCGGAAAAGCTGGGCCTGTGCACTATAAAAGTTAAAAAGTCTGAAGAACAAACTCTTCCATCGTTGACAACCCTATTTTTGTAGCGCGCACCGCATTCGACTTCCATTCAGAACACATATAGGGGGCCAGCCAATGTGCGTTGCAGCACAAATTTTTTCTCTCGGATAAGTCTAGCACCACTTAACAGAGCACGGAGGATTGAGATTTGGTCAGCTTGGATGAACAGCGATCCGAACTGGGATCCTCTAACAATTCGCGTGTGATTGTGCGCTATTGCCACTTCACCATCTCCGCCCTTTCGCACTGACTCCTATACAAACAAGCCTGGGTCTAGAAACAATAGCATAAAAGCAGGTCGTCTCGAAGTCACTCAACTCGATGCTACCGTAACTCTGTTTTAGTGGTTTCACCGTGGTCCTCTCTTATGAGGTACCTTGTTAATGTTATGGCTTACTGTTACGACATCCTGGTTTAGTGACGCTTCTCACCTACACGATAAGACTAGCGGTTGAAAAAGATCGATAAAATATTCTGTGAAATATTCGTGGAACACATATGCCTTTCGATATTTGTGAAAGTTCCTGCTCTGATTTTGAAAAGACGATCACTTTAGAAAACAAAGATCGACAATGGGCGCTGGTCAACCTGACAGAAAAGAGAAACAGAATCAAGTGAATACGGTAGCCATAACCAGCCAAAAAAGTAAAAGTATTGATGATAAAAGGAACTGATTAACTAGAGTTTAAATGTCTGCTAGCTCATGTTGCTCAAATACATTGAGAAGAAATATGCGATTCAAGAAGAAATCCAGTAGGTGCAACTTGCTTGAAGGGGCGGAGTTAGCATCCCTTCTGTATTACGTTTTATCATTCTTCTCAAGGACGCTTATGTAACGCCGAGCATGCAGGAGAGTTTCTAGACCGTCGACAACGTCATATCCGATTTAAAGGCACAGTTCACGATAAGTTTGGGTAATCCAGATTATGATGAAAAATGGTCGAAAATAGTGAAAGGGGAAAAGGGAGCTGGAGGAGAATGAGACCAGAAAAATGAGGAAGGGTGGAGCGTTTGGACGAGCTATACAATGTGGGACATTGCGTAAGTGTGGGTCCTGATGCAAATAACTGACTGCGCTAAGCAAAAATTCATTCACTTATAAGCATATGTAAACAAAAAAAACCTAGTTACAGCAGAAATAGCTCACCTTTTTGAGCCTCTCGAGGAAGGAAATTAAAAAAGGGATCGCGGTAGCAAAAAGAAACACGTAGGAAAAAAGAATGGGAGAAAAACATCGCCTCATCATTCGGCGATCAGCTGATTGTGTGTGGGTCCTAGAACGAATAATTGCAATCTGTATCGCCTCGTCACTCGTCTGACGTGACATCGATTGAGAGGCAGGGAGGCCGCGCAAGCCAGTGACAGTACTTCCACTATGCCCTAACTGTCGAGTTCATGGGCGCGAAGGGGGTCCTTTCATTACCCTTGTGGGCCACTGAGCGTGCCCAGGGGAAGAACTCAGTAACCATTTTCATCGTCAACCATTCCTTCAATCAGGACAAAAGGCACCATTCACGCTAAAAATAGTTTCTGAGGCTTCTTTCCTGGAGGAACTTGTGACCTACAGGGATAGTCTCTGGGACGCTGTGGGTCGAAAACGGCTAAGCTAATGCATAGTAAGGGCCTTAAAATCGGCTCAGCCAACGTACGCACCCAGGACGGAAGAGCTCTTAAGTGATTCAAAAGTTGTAGAAGTTGCATTTTCCGCACCGATACCCAAACCTTGCACGCAGGCAGCTCACTGCAATCAGATTTATGCAATGCCTCACGCCCTTATGCACCCTTGAACAGTTCGTCCAATTACCCCTTCCACCCTCGTATGTGTGCAATCCCTCATACTAATTCTTTTTCGAACCTATACATTCCTCTGGCATTTTCGATTTCCGCGTTTTCTTCGCCACTCTTGAGCTACAGCTACTCTAGGCTGTCATATCCATCATTCGTCTGAAACACGATACTACAAAATTACCGTGAATGGGAACGTCCGTTCCGCGCGTCCGTCGAAGATATGTCACCCCACCGACTTGGTCGCGGCGAAGCCCACTGCGATCTCGAGATCACATAACAGAACCTTCAAGTCCTAGTGGAGCCAATGATTCGTACTGGTCCGTGTAATCTTATCTTCGAGTTGACTACTAAGCTCATCAACCACGGTGTACTGAAAATCAATTGAATCCACTCTTTTCAAGTAAATCTATATTCATGAAATGCGCCTCCTCACGCTACCTTTCCGCACCTACCTGTTTTTAGGGTATGTGTCTGTACATAGTTGCCAACAACATAATTGCTCAGAGTTAATAAAAACGTTATCAGTGTGGTTCTTTTGTCCCTTTATACTAATACGACTCCTCTTAATGTTCAGATTTGACGTCCCTGCAACACTCTTATCTGTGTGGAATGCAAGGTAAACAATTCGAATTCAGGATGTTCAGTAATTGTATGTGAATTGTAGAAACTTGAAGCTACTGCTCGACTTCCCTCGGACGGCCGACATCATAATATCTGCAGAGTTTCTTGGAGCAAGGAGCAGTGCGTCTATTGTATCAAATGTCAAATAGTCACCGTGGCTTGTTGAAAATTAGTGAAGCAATTATAATAACTGAACAACAATGTTATTTACCTGCTCACATTTTCACAGATGCCACCCTCATTAGGTTTGTGCCATACGCAACATAATGTGATGTAAAAAAACAAACTGTCTTCCAAATCACGACGTGCTTGGATACCCCTGGCGAGGCTCAAGCGAAAGATTATCTGGATTGTTCAGCATACGAAGCAAAAAAGCAAAAAGGGTGGAAAGTCAGCTTCTTCTATGACGCAATGTGAGACCCTTTAAAATGGTCTTGGGAATACCCTGGAGCTTTTTTAATCCTTTGGGATAGTTTTACGCTGAGGAGAACACAATGATGAAATAGCTCAGAATTGACTACGAACTGGACCTCCACGCAGTGCGAAGTCATCGACGTCGATCATCATGTTTTTGGATAATTTCAGACAAACAAAGTTCCCCAAACTGTAGGTGCATCGAATTAGTGGGCTCGAGTTTCTCGAAAGCACTTCGTTGCAGACCTTTCTCGCTTCCTCAAAATCTGCTTTTGGGAGTAAAGTTTTGGTGAGAGAAGAAGGGTTTCCAAGAATGACACTGTGAAATGCTGAAGAGAAGGCGGAGATCACATCAACAAATTTTCTCGGGGGTACGAGACGTTTAAAAAAATCCAATTCATGGCAAAGGGCAAATGGTAGATTGCCTTCACTTGTCATTCTCACCATATAGATGAGGATTTTCTGCAAGCACCGAAAGGTAAGCCGATGAGAAAATGGCTCAATTGCCAAGTTCAAGAATTCATTCAACTGATTTATATGTCTGCTCTTTGAAACTGTGCACCTCCACAGCGTGTTAAGTGCAACCTTCATAGATTGTAAATAGCAACCGAGGTATAGCTATTTATAGATTTTAGATTACAGGTTTATAGTGCAGAGCGGTTCTGTATTAGTGAGAAAGGGGAAACTCGTAACATATTAATGAAAACAAAAACTTGCTGCTCACCTTCGAGACAGTTCAGGTCAGTAACCTTATGCTTAAAATGCACGTCCTCTTCCTCACTAGCACCACTTCTGGGCTGCAGGCATTACTTTCACACTTGAAAGATCATCAATTTCTACAACCACGATTCGGGTCGTCTCCTGCTACCTGATGCAGCAGAGGCTGGTCGTGGAGACAGTTCCACGATCCATGTTTGAAAAACCTGCAAATCCCTTTATTGACCAAATCCAAATGGGACCATCATGCGCAAAATTGAAAAATTCCATGGCGCTTCGAGAAATCTCGCTTGTAATTGTTTGCAAGAATCCTCTGTCCACTAGTGGATATTAATAAATACAAATTCGACAGTATTGGGGGTTTTGAAGCACTCTTCATTATATGCACTGAATACAGTTTCTGCAAAATATGTAGTGCAGGGACCGAAGAACGCTCACAACCACTATTCCGATGGAACACTCTCACCTGACGTGAGTTCCCATCAGGTTCAACTAGGGCTTTGTTTTCTCGTCACTCGATGTCTTTACACACCTATCAGGGCAAATCATCTTT